GGGCTGGGAGATGCACCTCTTTGTGCCCTCCTCACGCAGCCTGGCCTCGCCACGCTGCTCTTAACCTTCAGCCTGCCCTGACCGCCCTGCTCCCCGACCCCAAGTCCACCCTGACCCGCAGCCTGCCCTTCTCACCCAGCTTCTGATTCCCAGCCCGCCCTGACCACCCCGTTGCCCAAGCTCAGCCCACCCTCCCCTCCCTGCTCCTTGACCCCCAGCTCCATCACCCTGCCCTTTCCATCCACAGCCTGGCCAGTGGTGGAGAGCTGGCCGTCCTAGCCCTGCTCTTGATGCTTCAGCCGCACGCAGACCATGTCAGGGCCTCGAGGTGCTAGAAAAGCAGGATCCTTGGGGCACAATGCTCTGCCATGGGAGCCAGGCGTGTTACAGATGTATCCATACCTCACCTGCTAGTTTGTCTTTAAGTTGCTCATAGTGTAGCCCCTAGCCTTGCCCAGCTACCTGTGCAGCCCAGCGCTAGGAGGCTGTACACAGCATGAACCTAGACTTGCAGAGGGGGCTGCTAGCTCAGGGCCCTCCCTGACTACAGGGAAGCCTGGTAACAGGGTGTTCTGATCAAATTCAACCCTTCCCTCTCCTCATTTTCCTCATCTTCAGTCTGTTGAATAGAAACAAAAACATAAAAATAAGAGATTAATAGTCCCCAGCTCCTGAGAGTACAGCTCAGCTAACTCCCCTCGAGGCAGACCCGGCTGAGCCTGCTGCCTTTCTGGAGAGACCTGTATGCCTGTTACAGCACATCCTCAACCAGAGCACCAAGAGGGCAGCAGCAGGGCTGGGGGTGGGCAGGCAGGAGGGTGAAGATGCTATACAGCCATCAGCAATGGGCAGAGGTTGTAGCAGAAGAGGACAGTGCCCAGAGTGTGGGATTTCTTGGATATGTGGGTGGAACCCGCAAATCCAGCACTGTTTTCTTGCTGCATGCAGCACCAATAGGACAGTGAACCTGCAACCCGCTGCCTCCACTGGGGAACAGCTGACTGCAGAATGAGACAGCGCTACTGTTTGTAGGGTCTGCTACTGGATGAAAATAACAGCAGAAAGTTAGGACAGAAAAAGAACTGCCAGGGGCTTTAAGTATTTCACCACGAGTACAGCAAGTGAAAGGGATTTTTCAGAATAGGTGAATTCTTTACCCTTTCCTATACTAAAATCCCTCATCAGGTAGTGACTGATGATTGCTGATTGGTTTCGGCTGGATTAAAGACATCCTAAAAGGTTGTTTGAAATAAATAGGAGTTGTACAGAATGAGCAAAATAAAGAGATAATCTAGGCATTGCAAGAAGTGATTCATGAAAGCAGTCTTTTGTTTGTGTTTTGTTTAGCCCTCTGAATAACTGCCCACTGTTCCATTGTTTTATTCCTCATCTTCATCTGCCAGATGAATTGCTTCCCACTTTATTTTCAGGTCCTAAGAGTGGCAAATATGATAGGAATTTAAATAAATTCAACAGTAGCACCAGATGGAGCTTGGTATTAGGACACCTGGAGGGTGTGGGGGAAGGAGATAGAAAAGAATAAAACATGTACGATTGCTAAATATAATCAACACCAACTTTTCATAAATGTCTGCTTGTCACAAGCTTGAATAGCAGGTGTTAAAGAGGGCTATAAACTGTGATTACCAAGTGACTTAACAGTGACCAGTTAATCACGTTAACTCCAAGAAGACTCTGTGTAGAGCATGCCTGAAAACATGCTGGATTTGCTGTATGCTGTGAAAGTCTCCCATCCTGTAAAGTGTTTTTCCACAAATTCTTTCAGGAAAACCCAAGGTATATCAAGGTGTTAGAGTAAAGATTACAGTTAAGGAGTTACTGCAGCAGAGAAGAGCACGACAAGCAGCAGCTGGTGCAGTGGTAAGTAAAAATCTTCTGGTGTCTGCTTTGTTTCTTTCCTCTTAATCTTTTTTGCCAAGACCATAATCTCTGGGCCAAGAAGACTGCCAAAGTTCTGAGTGTAGCAGGCTGGTGAGGATGGGGGAGAAGAACATTCAGCCGGGGTATCTGCAGCAGTGATCTAAACCGGTTACGGTCTGAGCCATTAGTGCAGGGAGAAAACAGAGCTGGTGCTCCAGAAACATAACTTGCTCTGGGATGGAAGGCCCACATGGACAAATTTTAGTTCAACTTGCAGTTATCACGGCAATTCCAGTATCATTATACTGCATGAGCAAGGCAGGCCATAGTGACTGCCCCCCATTTAAAATGTGGCCTGGCCAGGCTGAAGCATGCACCAAATTCTTGCAGCATCAGGTGAAGCGTATGCCCAGGGTATGCCTTCGACCTGACCTGTGCAGCTCTGAGGAGCAACCAGTGCAAAGCTCTGTCACACTAAATCTCCCCTAACCTTCCCCTTTTCCACAAGTCTCAGCCCCCCAGGAGCTGCTTTCAACCACCCCCTACCCCTGGAGGCCTTCTTTTGCCCAGATAGACCAGGTAGAAAGCAAAGGCATGGAAGGTACAGTGCCTCCAGCAGCTACCAGGCAGTGGAAAGGGTTTGGGAATTTTGGGACTTGCCAGCGGCCCCAAATTTTGGCTAGCAGAAAGGAAGAAAACAAGGCATGAGTGAAAACCTCTTAAGCAGGCCTCCATTCTGCACCATTAATGCTTGACTGAATTCAGGTCTCCAGCGTTTTTCAGTACCACCTGGGCAGCTCCTAGCCACATCCCTTCTAAAGGAAGGGATGGAGATGTCTGTGTGTGTACACACACACATGTACACTCTGTCTCTCTCACTCACTCTTCCAGTCTTTGTAGGAGTCCTCTAGCTCCAGCCACTCTAGGGATTTGCATAAAGAGGTTGGTAAATCATTACTTTTTCCTGGTTCATGACATTACAGCTTTGGATGGTTTTCAGATTTCATCTCCCACCTTCTGTACCTCGTTACAGCTGATTGCACAAAAAGCTGATCAGCCTGCAAGCCACAGGCAGAGAGGCCTAAGTGAACAGTGCACAAAACTGCTTTGGAAATGCTGGGTTGCTCCTCCCTTCCAGACCTACTGGAAGCAGCCTCTTCATCACAGCTAGGCATCACATGGCTGCGTGGAACTGGTTTTCGCTTCCCACGTGAGTTTACACAGCACAGGTTTTGCTCACACTGTAAAAACTGAGAACTGGCGGTGCAGGAGGTTACCTTTGTGATCTGCAAAAGGTACGTGTTGTCCTGGAGAGGCCCCAGAGGTTAGGGCCAGCAGGATAAGCTGCCTCTGTACACTGAAAAAAGCTGAACCTGAAAACTTCTGCTGCTGGTGGTATGGCTCTGTCTGCCTTGTTACACATCTGCAGCCAAAGAGGGGTAGTCCTGCAGGTGCTTTCAGCCCAGAATAGCCACTATTTAATGAATTAAATACATGGAGAAGCACTAGGAAGTTGTTGTTAGGAAAGTGAGCCACTAACTGGAGAGCATTTTGAATAAAGGAAATGAAGTGGAAGTCTTTATGAATTAAAACTGAGGAAAAAAACAGTATTTGTATTTGCAGAGTAAAATCCTGGTCCCAAACAACAAGCATCAAAACTCCCGTTGCTTTTGGGGTGGATTTCTCCCCTCTGGCAGGTCAGTTTCCTAGAACAGCTTGATCTGTCTGCTTCAGCTTCCAGCATCTCTTAGAAAATGAGACTGTCCGTTTTCACAGAGGCATATAGCTGTGTGAGAGTGGGGAGCAATGTTAGAGCTGGTTCTCAAATGACATAAACACAAGCATGGTGACCCAGTATGATGCCCAGACATAGGGATACCTGCAATTGTCTTTAGTCATGTTTTGAGAGTTCTCACTACAATTTGTCAATTACTGATTCTCAATCATATTGACCCCTGCAAATTCTTTGGGATCCCTCCACTGTGGAATTTACCATCCTAGAAATTAACATACATTAGTTTTAAAGGCAGGCACATCTCTGCTGAATTAACAGTAATAACACAGTAAGAAGAGCACACTAGCAAGGTGCTGTATCAAGGGTTTTACACCAGGTTGGTGGTGTGCTCCTGTGGTGCCGTTACAGGCTCAGGGAAAGATCACGTTTTGCACGTTAATCTTGTTCTGTCCATGCTATGGAAGTTTTCCATGTCACAGACATCAGGTAAATAAGGTTTACAGAAATATGTTGAAGCACAATCCTGACTTACCTCAGCATGCAGAAAAATGCTCCCCTGTGTCACAGTATCTACAATTCCCTTTCTTCCCTTCTCTTTGGTCAAGGTTTCTTGGGGCAGCAGCAGCAGCATCCAGTTGTCAGAGTCTGCGTCTCCTCCTCACCCAGGTTGGTACAAAGCCCATCCACATGTCCCTTCTGACCCTCTGCCCCATTTTTCACACAGCCCAGAGTCTTTCCAGCCCTTGGTTGAGGCAAGCATTACCAGATAACCAGCAATGCAGCCAATCTGCACCCGAAAGGAGCCCATGAAATGCTCATGAGGATGCCGTGAGGCCAGCAGGGTACATACTACCCTGTTCAGGAGCACGCTTGCATGCTCTCATTTGTGTGGGTTTTTTTTTCCCACAGCAAAGAGAGAGCCCCTTCAGGAACGGGAGCTCATCCCCCTGGGAATAACACTGCTGGCATCACCTTCTCCAGACTGCAGTTTGTAGATCTGACTGGAGCTAGAGGGTCAGATTGCCCTGGAGCACTTTGCTGAGCTCCAGCAGAGTTGGCTGTTCTCACTCTCCTGGCAGCATCCATAACGGCGAGAGGAGTGTCAGGTTTTCAGCAACACAAAGAGTTTGTTCCTCCTGTACGTGAATATCCAAGGAAAGCGGGAAGGTGTGGGGGAAATAACACTTTGGGCTCACAGATCCTTCAATTATTCTGCAGCCAAAGCAGGGAGACCTAAATGGTTGGTCAGGTGTGAATATATACATTGTATGGACAAGGAAATGATTAAATCATCAGTATTTGGGAGTCAATTTGCTTATGTTAATACAGAAACGTGAGACATACCAAAGCTTTTTCAGGCTGGAAAGTCTCCATCTGTTTACGTATTTTGGGTGCTTCTCACTTCCTCCCCACATCCAGCTAAACACTGCCACCTTGAACCCGCAAACAATTATGACTCTGAGTGACTCTCTACCCACATGCAGTTCCATTGCCTTCAGACCTATGCCCCTCCATGTGGACAGGGCTTTTCTTTTAACCATGTTTGAACACAGCATGAGAAGAAGGTAATTCTGAAAAGTCAGATCTGCTGTGAGCTTTCATAGTCCCAGCAAGCATATTGCAGTACAGTGAGAGTCTGACCCTACAGCTTTCTAAGAACTTGCACTTTCACCAGTAACACTATGTGGATGAAATGCTGCGTTATCACCGACTTGCTCCATTTTGTCTGCTCAGAGGTTTGTCTCCTATCTGGCTGTCTGGAGGATAAAAGAGAAAATTATTCTTCTGTATCCCCTCCTTCCTGCAGACGTAGCTACCCTGCATCTGGAGACTGGGTGAGGCAAAGGTGCAAGCCGTCTGCCAAGCTGTGAAGCACAAATCACTGCATGGCAAACTTCTAGGTCTGTAAACAGTTGACATTTGAAGGGAGACCAGAGGGTCGAGTCTGAGGGAGTTTCCAGCTGGATCCCTGTCCAAAATGGCTGGAGCCAGAAGAGTTTCCAGCTCTTCTAAGAGCTTTAGAGCTTTCCAAGGGGACTAAAGTTCCTGAGTTACTTGTGTGATTTGAGCATCTTCCTCCTGGTGTCTGCTTCCTTAGAAAATTCACCCTGAACTTGAAGGACCTTTTTCCTTGTCTAAATCCATAGGGCTACTGAACGTATGAGAGTACTGAAACTTGACCTGGGGCAACACCTGCCCTTTATGAAGACAGATGCTGAATAATCTGCTACTATCTGGTTTACCTTCTCTCCTAGCACCTTTTGATGCAGAACCCATTTCTTCTGTTCCGAACTATTGTCCATCATGGCAGTTTTCAAATTGCCTCTCCTGCGAAGAAAGCCCTAGCTATTTGGAGCAGCTGGTAGACTCCTGCCTTCAGACAGATGCACCCTTAGACCCAGCCTTCAGCCCTTTCCAGATGTCCTCACACTACACCTCGGACACCTTCCAGCCAGTCCCGCTCTGCTTTAACCAGGGCCCGGTAAGCTGTGTCCCAGGGGAGCAGCCACAGGTGCATTCAGACAGAAAGTGGGGAAGGGGCAGAACAGCAGCAAGCTGATTTTGAAATGCTTTTAGCAGCATGGGGTATGGCCACAGCAATGCAGGCTGCTTGTGTGGACTTCTGCATGGTTTCCCATTGGGAGCTGAGGACAGGGAGGCCCAGCCAAACCTAGAGAGAGGGTGCAGAACAGGGAATGGCTCTTCTACAGATCCTGTAGATTTTCTGCAAAGAATAGCCCAGTTCCTGCTAGCAGTTGTCTAACTTGCAGAGACCCTATTAACACTAATGTCACAGGAACTGCCTCTTGGGTTTAGGTTTCCAAGGGCCAAACCATCTCCCTGGGTAGCCAGACCCTCCTGAGAAAGGCAACAGTGTGGAAATTCTGGCTGCTGTCCACAATTGCCCAAATGACACCCTGAAACGTCCTGGGTTTTGTTTGTTTGTTTGTTTTCTCTCTCAAACTCTAGGCTGCCGGATCCCCCAGTTCAGCTGATCTGTCCAGCCCATTAAACTATAGCTGCTCTCCTCCTCAGCTATCTCCTTTCACCCCGATGACCCACAGTCCACCCTCTGCTCTGGACACCAAGACCTATGGCTACCCTGCGGAGGAATGGTCCTGCCATACCCCCTCCCCATACACCACCTCTGCTTGCTGCTGCACAGCCTGTGGCTCCCAGAATGTGGACAACAGGGGCCCGCAGTACTTCCCCTGCCCCAGCACGGACTGCATGGACTACCTACCGCCCATGGCCATGGCCGAGGACTTCTTCAGAAGGGATAGGAACTGTGATATCTGCTATAGTTAATGGGGACTGTGGTTTTACACATCCACTGTATCCAAATCAGATTAATTGCCCATGAACTATGCAAAGTTGTGCTGCCTAACATGGTCCAGTTTATTCTTCACTACTCACACATTTTCTACATGATGCTGTCACTACATTAGTCCTCTTGGCTTGTATGGTCAGGGGTGTTTTGTTGTTGTGGTGTGTTTTGGGGTTTTTTTTCCTGGTTTGTTGTTCTTGTTTCTTAAAGAAATCCTAAGATGGCTTACCAAACACATGTCATTAAGCCAGCTCTTTTTGATACAAATAAATAATTTGGTATGCATGCTGAAGCCTGTTCATTCCTCCTGTGCTAAATGTCAGTGCTTTTCTCTTCTGCTAATGATCCAGGATCCTGGTCCTGTTCTCACAAAGGTGAGGAAGAGACTCGCAGCAGCCTACACACGGAGCACGTAGCAGCATGAAAGGTCTTACGCTTTTCAGCAGACAGAAAGTCTCTACCTATCTCAGCACCCAGCACACTATCCAGAGAGAAAGCTGTGCAGCACCCTGCTCTGAGCAGGATCTGCAGCTTCCTAGCCACTGCTTCTGCCTAGGCTGCCGTGATGATATTTTCTAGCAGTTCTTGCAGAAAAGGAAAACCTCTGTTTTCCATGCAAGCTCAGGGCTTAGCCATGTGCCAGAAAGGCCCCTCAGGCCTGCAGAGAGGTTGAATCCAATGCTAAACTTCTTTGGGTGCTGCTCAACACCAGCTTCCCCATGAAGGCAGAGTTTCAGTGAGAGGCCGATGTAGTTTGGCAGCACTTTGTATAGTTTGGTCTGTTGATACCGCATTTTCTGCACCTTGTAGCATAACCAACTGAACAGGAGCTAAATGATTTTTTTTTTTTTTTAAGTAGATAATGGGAAAGTTATCATACCTGAGGATTGCTTGTTTTTTGCATAAACACAGACCTTTCTAAGACTGTGTCTCACCTCCTTTTAATAGCACTTGATGAGGGAGACTGGCAAGCCACCACTTTCTCAGCTGAGCACCCAGACTGGACAGAAAGAAGTATCTCTCCATACTAAATCCAACACAAATGAAAAAGCTGTCTACACCTGTGAAGACAAATACATAATTCAAGTACCTGTATGCTCACCTTCTCCTGCAGACTACAGTTAACTGAAAAGCTTTCCTCTCCCCAGAGCTGAAATTGCCCATAGGGCCGAGGATGCAACAGACACATATCTGGCTGGCAAATAGGGAGACTTCCTTCATTCTACAAAAAAAAACCAACAACCAATATTTCCTCACCCTGAGAAATTTATGAAGAGCTAAGAGTAACATTTTTTTAATGAGACATTAAAAAATATTTATATAACGAGAGTCATTTCAACCTTCTATCCCCGCCTTTATCAGAAAACAGATCTACTACCTCCCATGCAGCCTCCAGGGTTCTTTTCACTTTTAAGTTCTACATGAGCTCAAAATGGAATTTTTTCCATGTCCAGTCCAGGTCCCTGGACAGAACATTTCATTTTTGCCATGCTAGACAAAGAGATCACGCAGAGATAACTGTACCTTTCCAATATCTAGTTCCTTTACCTTATGTAACGTAGCAGTTTTTTTCCAAAACTTCCTTTAAAATACTTTGTCAACTCCAAAAAGCATCTTCCCCTCTCCCCTGTTACCGAATTAATCTCAGAGTTGGCCCAAGCAATGAACACATTTGGTCACAGAAAGCTTATAAACAGGCATTAACAGTTGTATCTTTGCTACAGTTAAAGGTGTGATTACCCCTGTGCAGAGACACTCTGTTAGGTGTCATTTTAGTAGTGCTGGCAGGTCCTCAGCCCCTGAGTGTTATCTCAGGACACTGGAGTGTTACACTTCTACTGCCCCAGCCTGCTCCACAGCTTGCTCCACGCTGGCTACTTGAGGAGTGGGCACGCCTTTAGCCACATGTCAAAGCCCCTTGTCACCAGCATGAAAGAGCCAAAAGAAGACGTGTTTGAGGCAAGATATTTGAGGCTTCTAGTGGAAATGGGGTGACCATATCCTCCCCATGGGTTGGCAACGTTGGCCTAAGCCAACACAGCTGACATGAGCTGTTCTCATACAGCAAAGAAAAGAGCATGTGAGAAGGGTAAGTAACCATTCAACAAGGAGCGCGCTCATATTAACGCATCTTACAGCAAGTTTAATAGTATCCCAGTCTAGACAACAGTGCCAGCAAGGAAGTGTTACAGTCTAACAACATATCTCTCACCTCCACATCAGGCAGATATCTAAATCTAACATGTTATCAGCAGACTGCATGTTTATCAGTCTATTGTGGCATAGATCTGTACAGCTATCAGTGGTTACATTGCATCTCCAAATAGGGCTGCTCTGTGCAAAGATTGTGGTGTGCAGTGGAGAGGTTGTGCCCATCATTGAACCTATGGTTGCTGTTTAGGCATGACCACTTAGGAATGGGAGTGTGAGCATGAGCACTGTAAAGAACCCTACATACCATTCTTATTGCTGCTCCTTGGATGTTGCCTGACCCAGGAAAAAAAAGCACTTCTCCAGTGGGGGAAACTGTCTCTTCAAGGACTGGGCTGGTCTCACCACTGAGATTCCACACTGTCAGGGCTCACAGGTGGCTGAGGTCCTGAGATGGGAGCATGCAGTGTGTTCTTAAAGACAGCAGATAGTTAACAGCTATTGGTCTCATGCTGCACGGGACCGGCTGCTCTAAAATTATCAACTGCTCTGTTGGGACAAGGATATTTCCAGCAAAAAGTTTCTGTGCACTGGGGTCTCTGGACTCTAAAAGCTTCCACTAAGTAAGCAGTCCTGTCCTCCATCCTTTGCTGCCTCTTCCTATTTCTCTGCTGCTCTTTCTCCAGTTGTTTTGCAATCCTCCATGCCAGGGACTGAAAACATGTTTTTAGACACCATTTCCCAACTCCATCCAGGTGACATATGCAGTGCAAGTAAAAGCTTGCTGACTGTTGACACAATGAGACCTTGTTGACACAAGAAAGAAAAAAAAAAACCAACAGAGTAAGACTATTCAAAGGCTGATTGTGCATTTTCTGGCTACGAGGAACATACTCTTTCTCCTCTTTATTCCCTCCTATCCCACCAAAAAAAGGAGGAGGGGGAGATTAAGGGAAAGTATCTTGGGTCATATCTCCAACAGAGTTGGCACAGCACTACTGAAACACTGGCACTTCATCAATCCCTGACAGATGAAATTCTGCCAGCCTATATAAACCTGTGTTTACATAAAAATGAGGATCGCCCCATTCTTACAAAAGCCATGAATAGATCCAGAAGTAACCCGCAATTACAGAAAAAATAAAAGGTTCTTATTTTCAGGTTCTTTACCAGTTGCATGGAGTATTTGATCAAAAAGATTTCCTTGCCAACCGACTGGCGACTTTTCTATGGTGCCACTTCAGAACATTTGTTTGGTGATAAAAAGCCTTTGTTATAAGCAACTTAACCAAAGCCACAGGTAGGAAGAGATAAACTGTGCAAATAAAGGGGTATCACACACTGCCAGTACTGCTGAGGTTATAAAAGGTACATTTCCCCTGAAACAGTCATAAAAAATTGAGGGGTTAACTGTGAATTAAGATATTGCTCAAATCAACAAAATTCACCTCAGCACAGAAGACTTAACACTGAGGCCACCTTTCAGCCTTAAAAAGGATTTTCTTGATACACAGGTCAGGAACTGGCTGGCTTGACAGGGAAGGGGACAGGTTCTTTACATGCATGGGGAAGCAGCAGCTTCCAGCTGTCCGGTGGTCCAGTCCAAAGACAGTATGAACAGCTTGTTGATTGCGGCTGGCTTCAGAGCAGGCCTGTAATACATGAAGCTGAACACAGGTGTGTCTGTAGAGAGAACGAATCCTTCCTGGGTCGGTCATGGGTTCTTCCCGCTGCAAATCTCATCTATCAACTCTGAGTTGAAGCCACATCCACCCCTTCTCAGACTGATCTTTACCCTGATATTCTGGAGACGGTGATGTTTACAGACTACAAGTCACTGATGGCGTTACTCCGTATTAAACATCCAACAGCAGGCAGATGAAACAATAAAAAGATACACCACTCTAGAAAACTCCTGCTTTTTTTCACTTGCTGCAAAAGGACTTCTGTCATCTCACAGATGTTTCTAGATGGCAAAAAGCTTTTTACATTCTCCCTTGTGCATCATATGCCACATGCTGGTCACAGTTTTATTGCTAGCAAATTCAAGAAATGGATGTTTTATTGACTATTTTGTCTTGACACACAGTAGTAACTCACCAATGCAGTTATCACTCAGTTCAGGCCTTGTTATAACATCCCTTCAAAGTAGAAGAGCACATGTTTTTGCTGGCCTATGCCCAGATATATGCAAATTTATGCAAACACATGCAAATACATGTGTGCTTTTTTGTCAGCGGATGTTGGCAGGTTTATAGATATGATGTAGTGAGAAGCGATAGCAAAAGAGCAGACAGGAGGCCTGAGAAAGTCGAGACGATCTCTGCATTTCTTAGGACCTTTTGTTCAAGTCTGCTAAACAGTTGTTTAAACAGTCCAGGTCTCCGAGACTGACAAGTGCCTTAGAAAACCCCATGCCATTGAGTTAGTCAGTGGGTGATCAAGGAAGTTACTGCAGGGATTTAAAACATCTGCCCTTCATCTTATTGTTCAGTCCTGTTAGAAAAAATAACTTGGGCAACACCACGAAATCAGTGAACTGTAATTCAGAACGTGTACTGAAGATGAGACACCCTGTGTGAAAGGGTTGTCAGTTTTCACTCCCTTCAAGCATCTACCTTCAATCCTATTGACCTGGCAGAGACACTGTTGCCAGCTGATTGCACAGCAATTTACAAATCATTTCACAGAAAGAATAAGAAGAATCTATTAAAATGTCCCCTTGGATAAGAATGGGAATAGGAGAGCACTTACCGCGTTGCACTCCAACCCCGCCATGTACAGGCTCACATGGCTCAAAGGTTTTCTACCCTGTCCATGCCTAAAAGAT